ATCCATTCAGAGATACAATCTAGGTGCAAATTATGATTGAATCAGATGACGATGCCTTTTAACTGCTAATCAAAAAGAAGAATGACACTAAAACAACCATTGCTGGACTATAATAAATTTAAATTCCATTCTCTTTTACTCCTAGAAGTATCAGATCTTATAAGTGTGAGTTGGTCGTTGCCATGAATGAAAAGATTAAATGGAGATATCCTATTACTGGACACACTGAATCATTTGCAACTGGAAAATTTACGTAATTTAAAACTAAATGCAGAATCTCATTCTTATAAGAATTTAAATTTTCATTGCCTGGAGTTGATAAAATTGGTAAATCTAATTTCACATTCGAAATCAAGAATATTTCAGAAGATGTTAAGATGCTAGTCGATAAATTCTTTAAAATCAAAATGATTCAATCCTCTGCTGATGATTGTGATGAGGTTCATTTTGATGCTGCTTTTATCCCCTTAAAACCTTTTAAAGCTAATTTTGATTTGATTATCAAAAGAGATATTGGGGGTGTTTGGAAATTTCCCATGAATCTGGATGCTACCGAACCTGACATAGATGATCTCATCATTATCACTAGTCCACTCAATAAGCCTACTAGTGTTTCATTTAGAATAACTAATCGTACTAAGCATCAGGCTACTTTCAGAGCATACTTCACTCCAGCTTCTGATTAAGAATTTTCAGTTACTCCAAAATATGGAGAATTGTAACCAAATGGAAGGGAGGGCACTTAATTCATCATTACTTTTACACCTCTTGAGTATGGATAGATTAGATCTGGTAAATTGATTATTGAGACTGATGACATGTATTGGTCTTACAAAGTCAGAGGCACCTTACCAAAGTATGAACCTCCAGTTGCCTAACCGAAGGTTGACGCTAAACTAATTGCAAATAATAGCAGCAATTTCAAACCAAAGAACTTCTTATAAACTAATATCAAGTAATCATTTTTAGTTATTATTTTAGGCGCAATCATTCACCACCTAGCATGCATTAAAAATCCACAGCGATTACAAATTTAAACTTCAGTAGAAGAACCTTTGGAGCAACCCTTACCAGAGAAACCAAATCAGTTCAATTAATGAAAACGTAGAAATTAGAATGATTTAATTATTTTCATCATATTTTTAATTTTTATTGTTAAATGTTTTGGCGTCCTAACGACCCTCATCAGAACTTAAATTGATTTTCATCAAAAATAATCAAATTGATTAAAGTTTAAGAAATAAAATAATAAACACAAACATTTTTTGATTAAGATGAAGAAATTTCGTCCAAAGAAATTTTAAAGTAAACTTACAAGATTTCATTATAATAAAATTTATTGCCTCACTTTAAAATTTATGTCATTTTTTCTACCCATAGATATAAAATAATTTAGAAATTATTTCGTTAATGTTTAAGTTGGAATGGAATGATGAAGCTGATTTGTAGAGTTGAATTTACTTTTTCAATTAGACTAATGTCCCTGAAATAATTTGAGAGATATGTTATAAGATCAATCTAATGATAACTTCAATTTATATAAATTCATCTCTTACGACTTATTTAATTATATATAATTTCAAAAGACTAATATAGATTTTCACACTTATATTTTCCAATATTCAGAAGTGATAATTTCATAAGTATTATAAAGTGAGATTATTAATTGTCAATTAATTAAAAATAATAAGTAGTTCTTTAATATATCCGAGGTTCTATTACTTTTAAAATGTATTTATTTAATGAAGTAGGTTTAGTATTTATTAAATTAAATGGAAATTTGTTTTGATACAATTCAAGATTAATTGGCAAAGCATGTAGATTTGGCAAAGATAGTAGATTTTAATGCACTTTCATAAAAACCTGGATTTAAGATTGAACAATGTAATAGTTGGATATACATTGGTCAAATGATGAATGGAAAGAAGAATGGAACAGGTAAATATTTTAAAAATCTCAAAAGGTATTCTGAAAATAGTTGATTCTTTGAAATTATATATCGGCGAATGGGTTGTGGATTAAAAACAAGGTTTAGGATATGAAAAATTCTCAAATGGAGCTGAATATTATGGTAGTTATGAGAACAACAAATAAAATGGATATGGCGAATATTTTTGGGTTAACGGAGAAATCTATAAAGGCCACTGGATAGATGGATAGAAAAGTGGTTATGGAGAGTGGCTGGGACAAAATTCATGGTATAAAGGTGAATGGAAAAATGGCTATGTGGAAGGAAGAGGGGTATATTAATCTGAAAAAGGTATATCATGTTTCTAATTTAGGAGATCTATACACAGGCGACTTTGTAGCATCAATGAAACACGGAATGGGGGAAGAACGCTTTTCTAATGGTGATTTATTTAGAGGAAATTTTATTAATGGTAAACCAGAAGGGTATGGTGAATACGTTTGGAAATCTGGCAGCCTATATTAGGGTACTATTTAAGTGATCTTTAGGATTCTTTCTAAAAGGTATGAGGCATGGTCAAGGTGTATGGCAGTCTTCAACTTCTAGTTTGTGTGATAAATATGATGGAGCCTATTAATTTGATAAAAAATCAGGATACGGTGAATTTATTTGGGCTAATGGAACTGTTTATAAAGGCTAATTTCAAGATGATCTTAGGTAGGGTTATGGAGAAATTTATTCTAAAGGGGTTTTAATTTATTAAGGGGAATGGGAAAGGGATGTATAAATTGAAAAATCAGGATTAAGACTAAAATTTTAATAGAAATAATACATTCAAAATCACATTGCCTTGTATTCAAAGCATCCAAACGTGGAAGAGATTAAAGAATTAGAAGAAGAATCCAATGGATCAGAGCCTGAAAGATTATTACAAGAAAATAGGAACATTCAATAAAAAAGGACAGAGAAATTTAGATTAACAACTTTGCATTTTGATAGTAGAACTAAGACGCATCGAATTTCTCCTATGAAACGGAGCTTAGATTTATAAAACTCCTCAGCTTCAGTATAAAATAAAAAAAATAGAGTTCAATCTTAAACATAATGCAAAACACAAATAATTTAATAACACAAGCATAGATCGATTTCTTATTCAAATTAAGTGTAAATAACTAATAAAGAAATGTCTAAAAATAATTAACATTCATAACCGAAAAAAAGTAGATTAAAATTGGAAAAGTTGAAATGATTTAACTACATACTGTCATATATCATTGAAATATTAACCAAATTGTTCTATTAAGCTTTTTTAATATTTTTATTATAAATTTATGGTGTTTCGAACTTGTAGTTGTATAAACATTTGCTTCTGATATTATTTACTTAACTATGTTAGTAGTATTCAAACTGTGCAGAAAAACATACATTTAGTATCAGATTACTTTTTTAGCAAAAAAAAACAACTATCTTTATTTATATTTTAATTTCAAATTGGATGATCAAGCCATTGAGAACTTGATAGAAATATTTTTTACTTTTCTATTATTGTTGTGTACACAACTTTGTAGAATCAAAATATAGGAAAACGATTTTATTATTTATTTGCTATAGAATTAAATTTTATAATCCTAATTGTTCTATATCTTGTCTTTCAATTCATAATAAATATTGAATCATACTTAATTAGTCTAAAGACTAATTTATTTTTTTGACAAATTTAAAAAAAATATTAAATATTTAATAATATATGGTTATTCTAAGTTTGGAATAATCTGCTGAATCAGTTTAACTGAATTCATTGAAGTTGAAGTTTTTTGAGTTCGGAATGAGGGTATATATTTTCAATTCATTATTCGAAGTTTAATGTTTATTTTATTAGAAATAAAGTACAAGAATTGAATTAACAGATTGAATGAAAGATGAGTCGAACATGATAAAGTAATAATCACTTGTTATCAATATATTTATTGGTAGAGTTTTGCGGAAAAATATGTAAATATATATAAGGAATGTAAAAATATGTCATCCTAACTTAGATTATTTTCATGCATTTCAGAAAAATTTCTTGTTAATAATTAGCAGTTCAGTTTAAGGGGCTTTGAAAGTGGCACAATTTTCAAGAACATAGACAAGGGGAGATGTACTTTTTCTCAAATTTTTGAATCCCTTTCCTTTTTCATTTATATGGTGTTATCAAACAATTGGTTTGAATCCTGGGCAGTTTATCGCAAAAAATTTTTCAATTATGAAAGCATTTCTAGTTTATTCAACTAAATTTAATCTTATTGATGGTTGTTACTGATTGGCAATGAAAATAGAGATATTATTCTTTATTGATTGTTAAAATGATAAAAATTTACAAAAACAAGAACTAAGTATTGAGATAGAATAAATAGTATGGTAGACTCAAAAAAAAATAAAGGACAATAAACTATGAATTCCAAAATGGTTTAATGATACTCTTGATATGCAAATCAAGCTTTGGAATTTTACTGGAACTCTAATAGCTTGATTTGAAGCAGAATTACCAAAAAATTAACCATTATTTTTAATAATTATTATTGTGTTGGCAATAGAAAACAACTTGAATCTCAATGCCTATTCAACATGATAAAAATACCCACGCGTTTAGGATTTGATATAAAGGAGGTAACTAGATTAAATGGTTTCTATTTATTAATTGTTAAAAGTATAAGTAAAAATGAAAGAAAAAAGAATTAGAATAATTTGGGAAAGATGAAAAATGTTTTTGATTAATTTCTTAATAACAAATAAGTTTATTTGCTACTACCTATATCAAAAGAATTTCTGAGTTTTTATAAGGTATTATATTCTTTGGCCTGTTATCAATTAACCTATAATCGATAATTTCATCATTCTCAAAGGTTTAAATTTACATTAAGGTTCTTTTGCTTGTTGATTGATTAATTTATTTTGACATATATTATGAATTTTTCAGCATCCGCAGTTATATAAGAAGAAAATATTACTTCTAAATTAGTTACTTGAGAATCACTGAATATTTTTAGGTCTGGTTCATTTTCAAACAAGCATTCTAGAATCTCTTGGTTTAGTAAGAAAGAAAACATTATTATTATTATAAATATTCTAATAGAAAAATAAGAATACTTTATTAATGAAAAAGTTGAAAGATGAAAATCTCTCTATAAAAATGAAAGGAAAAGGAAGAGATGAACTTGACAAATCATTTGAAATTATTTGAATAGCTAAAGTCTACAAGAATATTTATAATTAAAATAAGTCTAAAATTTTGCCATAAAAAATTCGATGATTTGAAATAATATATATTAATGATTGTACCTAATGTTGTTAGTTTTATAATGAAACAATATTAAATACTTAAAGTATTTTATCCAAATTTAAATTGTACGTTATCCTTACAGAAATACTTGGTGTTGTCTTGATGAGACAAAGGAATTCAATCAATAAAATACACATCCTTATTCTGACACTGTAATGTCAGATGGCTACGCTTTTGATTGCCGATTCATATCAAATATTTTAAATCAAAAATTAGCCTTAAAAATTTCAAGTATATCAATGAAAAATATTCTTTCCCTCCTCTTACTAATGAAATAAATATTGAAAACAATTTCTAGGCGATGACTAATTAATGTCTCATAACTCCTTCAAAACGTTAGTGACCAAGCATTTTCAATACATCACTAAAAAGTAGAAGGATTTGATAACAATTTAAAAATTTGCTACTTCATAACTATTGACTTTTATATTGTATAATAATTTTTACATTTAAGGCAGGTATTTAACTAAATTTTTTTAATTTTTAAATCACCTTAAAAATTATGCATCATCAAATAAACGCGAATCGTATCAGTTCCCACTCTATCTGAAAGAAGATTAAAGTGTTGATATTAACTACAATAAAAAGACAGAATTCAATGGACTTAAAATAAAGTCACTTTTCAATTAAATCAAATCCCAAGTAAACTGCATCTTCTAGCAAGGACATGAAATTAAGAAGAAGAAGTTTTTCTAATTCTATTTCTGCGTATTGTTAAGATTCAAATAGAAAAGAGCCAAAGAACTAGAAATATAGTTCAAATCATTTCTTAAATAAAAAATAGAAATAAAATAATGATAGTGGCTCATTATCAAATTAAGATAACTCAAAATCCAATAACCCAATTAAAAAAATGAGAATGATTGGAATGACATTTATAAATCCAGAAAAGAAGAGGTAAATTTTAGGTAATTTCACGAAAATTTTTCGTCAGATGCGCTTTAATTGGAAATCTTGTATTATTGGCTTTCGAGTTTTGGATTTAAGCGATCTGCTCCTTTCAAACTATCCCCTCTTTAAGCTATCTAGAATTTGAAAAAAATTATTTATTTTCCGAAAACCGGTTATACTATTTATATTCTTTGATTTTGTATAGAAGTGATCTTCAGGAACTATTTCCTCAATTTGTGGAATGCACTTGGAAAAAATATTACAAACATTAAAGGGCATGTATAATTAATGCTACTCCTAAGTTTTATTTCATGATGTTCCAAGTCGAAATTATTTTAAAGAGTACATGTTTGTAGAATATCTGAATGAAATTATTGCTGATATGAATTTAGATTATAACATTCTTTTGGAGGATTTTATTATATACTTTAAATTGTTCAGCCTTTAAAAAAATAACATAGAAGCATC